AATGTCATGTCAGGTCTTGGTGCATCTTGTCTGCTGAGGTGTTAGGCTAGGTTCTGGGTGAGACATAAGGTAGGTCTACTGTGCAATCGTTCACGGCCTGGGGAAGTGGCCTGCTCTCTCTCATAATCTTGCTTGTCTGGTGATCTCTCCTGTTAGACTGAAAGCTCCGTGAGGGCAGGGATCAAACCTGATGATCTAGCTTGTTCACTACTGAGGTCCCAGCTCTTAACAGCTCTGGCAAATAGCAGAGTCTCAGAGTTGTGGAGTGAATGAATGCATGCATAACTGAGAGCAGTCACAGTGTAGCCCATCCACTGCTATGGTAGCCTTCATACTTCTAATGGAAATAAGTACATAACACCGAGGGAGAAAGGAGAAAGAGCATGGATCTTGCCTGTAGGAGAGGGACGTCTCAGGGAAACTGGCGGTGGTGGCCAAGTTTGTGTGTTGGGGAGAGGCCTGAGTGTAAGAGTGCCTCAGGGGTTTTGGTTCTGCTGAGCACCTGGAAGTGGCAGACCCTGTTTTCTTGCTGCTCAGCCTCATTTCCTTTTCTTCCTTGCTAACAGAACTCCAGGTTTGTCGAGGGCAGCAGTGGGCTCAGCCCCCTGTGGACTGCGTTTGACCTGGGTGGCTGGCCTGTACAATGACATTCTCTGATTTTCCAGCCCTCTTTGTAGCTAGGGGCAGCCATGTGTCTACCAACTATAGGTAATAGGATGCCAGGGAGTTCTAGGAAAGCTTTTGCTTTGTCTTGCTTGCTTTTCTTTTTTTAAAAAAGAGAGTTTTTTTTGTTTTTGTTTTTTGTTTTTGTTTTTGTTTTTGTTTTTTTTGCTAGAGGGCGCATGTGGTTGCCGGAGACAGAGAAAGACAGAGGCAGAAAGTAAGAAATCACCTCTTGGTGAGGTGGCCACACCACAGTCCCTTCTCCTTCTCTTTGGATTTTGAGTACGCACACACACGTGCCTGGTGTGAATTTTAAGCAGCTGGGTCTGGGACTCAAACCGTGGTTGATTACATGGGTGTCCAGTGACATAACCATTATGCCATCTGCTGGTTCCAGCTTTTGCTTTCTTAACAAAATGAAAGGGTATGTGTATGTGTGTGTGCGCCAGATTAAGCAGGTATAGCTCTTCCCTTTCTTTCTGACTAGACCTGAATGCAGTGTCTAAAGCCATCTTAAGACCATGAAAGGGGCCTGTAGGTGGCATGCTGGTTAAAGGCGTTGAACTCCCATCCCACATGGCCACCTGGAACTGATGGCTTGCTTTCTCACTTTCCCTCTCTCTCTGATCAAAGTGGAAAATAATAATAATAAATAAGGTTAAATAAAAAATAATTCTTTAAAAAAAAATTAAAAGACCATGAAGTCTCAGGCATGGGGATAAAAGCCAGGCTCCTAAAGAGGCAGAGGACAGGTCAGAAGACCCTGGGGCCCTGAAGGCACTTCGAGTGCTTGAGAAGCAACAAAATCCCCTACCTTTGGAGTTCTTGGCAAATGGGAAGGGTGAATCTCTAATTTGTTTTGAAATCAAACCAGAGTTTAAATCCTGACCTACTATCTACTAGATATGTGGCCTTGGCCCAGTCACCTGTCTTCCTTCAGCATTTGGTTTCTCATCTATCAAGTCATCTTGTAGTGCCCACCTCTCAGGCGGTTTGGATTCAGATAAAGAATGGACAGTGCAGAGCTAGCAGATGGCATAGAGGTTAAGGTGGCTGGATCCCAGGTGACCAACTTCATGGTTGGAGTCCTGAACCCAGGGGCTTGAAAATCATACTGGGTACATGTGTGTGTGTGCCCAAAATTCTGTCTCTGGTGATCTCACACACACTATGGCAAAAACTAAAAAACAAACAAGATGAAACAATAAAGAAGAGCCTTACTAGGGCTAGAATGGCAGTCCTTGCTAGAATGGCAGTCCTTGCTAGAATGGCAGTCCTTGCAGAGACAACAGCAGTCCTTTCCCCGTTCCTCAAACACACCAAGGTGGTCCTTCTCCAGGCCTTTGAACTCTGCCTGGTTTCGCTTCCCCAGATCTTCCATGGCGGATGGTCTAAGTTGGGAGTCTGTGCTGAACAAAAGGGATCCTCCACCCCACCCCCCAGCCCCACACACATAGGCTTCTTTTCTCACACAGCAAGTTCTGAGGCAGTGGCTGCTGGTATTGGCTCAGGGCTGTGTGTCTGGAGTATTCTTCCTCTCCCTCACGGTCAGAGGAAGACAGGAAAGGACTGTGCCAATGGCACCTGGCATTCTATTAATACTGTTATTTTATTTTATTGGGTTGTTGGAAAAGTCATAATACATTTTTGTATAGAGAAACAAAAAATATGTCATAACTTTTCTGAATACCCAATATTTTAGATTTTTGTCATGGGGTGTGGGCACTCACCAGAGAGAGAAGGAAAGTGAGGAATCATACCCCAGAGAAGGCCACATCGCAGTCTCCAGTCTCCTTTCAGGATTTACACACACACACGGTGTGTTTTTCCAGGAAACGAAACTCCCCAGGACCCCCTGCCACCCTTGCTGACTTCACTAACACCTCACTGGCCAGACTGTGTACATCCCCCTTCTTTGAGGGAGGCTGGGAAGTTGAGTCTTCAGGCAGCCAGCAGTGCTCTAGACAGTGTCTTGTCACTGTCTCAGTCCTTTCCTAGTGATCCAACAAAAGTAGCTCCTTTCAGACATTTGTAAAGTAATTAAACACTCTATTCTGCCATCCTGCTTTGTTTTCTTTATAGTACCTGTCTCCCTTTGATACTAAGTGTTGATTTTGTTGTTATTGTCTGTGGTCCTGAGAATGTGAGAGGCCTGGTCAGTCCTGTCCATCACCCCATGGTCACCCACAAAATGCACTTGCTGCATGACTTCATGGACAGATGGACAGACAGTTGGTACATGGAACTGCAGGGCGAGTCCCTGATTCATGCAGTGGCATGAAGGCAGGAGATGAATTCTAGGCATATTTAGGAGGGGAACTGAGAAAACTTACGATTCGAGCGGGGTGAAACTATACGGGAAGGTGCAGATTTTTGACTGACTTTCGGGTTTCTTGCGTGGGCAAGGAGAGTGATGGGGGATCGTTCATTAACACAGAGCAAGGATTTAGGCAAGAACTGGGAGAATGGGGAGATGAATTTAGACCAGAAGGTTTCCACTGAATCTGCAGTTGGCTTATGGGTGATATGAATGTGGGTGCCTTCACCAGGACAGGCGGAAGCCAGATGCCAAGGCTTGGAGCAGTCATGAGATGAGGACGTGGAAGTGGGAGGCAGCTTTCTAGGAGCCTGGCTGAGAGAGGAAGATGGAGGGGCAGTGGTTGAGAAGCGAGGTCAAGGCGGGGCTCTCGTTATA